CCCCCCCCTGCCGCTCCCTTCCCCATCGCAGCTGCTCGAGTTCTTCCCGGAGAACCGCCGCACCTATGCCGAGCTGAAGTCCCACTTCGCCGCGCACAACCTGTCCGAGGTCCGTGCACACACACGCACACTGCCCCGCTCGCTTTGTGGGGTCCCATCTCCCGCCCTCCTTCTTACACCCCTTCCTGGACCTGGGTCCCACCCACTCGCGCGTTTGCAGATCACTCGCCACTACCTGCGTGTGCAGCAGCGCCGCAAGCGCGAGGAGCTCCAGGCCCGCCTGGAGGCCAACCTCCGCTCCGAGTCGCCGGTGCTGGCCGAGTGCGCCAACATCATCAAGAGCTACATGCCGACGGCCGGTGGCACCAACGAGGACAGCCTCTCGGAGACCGACGTCACGCTGGTTGTCTGGAACGCCATCATGCGCTCGGTCACCTGGTCCAGCAAGTCGGATCTCTACGAGAAGCAGGCTCTGCGCCAGGTCAAGACCAACGGCAAGCTCCTGGCCTTCTGCACCCGGAGCCCCACCTCGGAGCTGGCTCTGATGAATGCCGTGCAGATGTTCTGCCATGAGGACCAGCGCTTCGTGCGGATCTTCCCCCAGCTGGTGGCCATCCTCTACAATGAGGACGCCGTCAGCTCCGAGGCCATCCGCTACTGGTATGACAAGGGCGCCGTCAACAAGGGCCGCGAGGGCTTCCGCAAGCAGGTCGACACTCTGCTGAAGCAGATCGAGTCGGCCGAGGAGGACAGCGACGACGAGGAGTCCGACTCCGAGTAAGTTGCCGATCTCCCTTCCTCTCTTGCTCCTTTTCTCCCTCTCCCCCCGCTCTCCTTTTCTCGCTCTCCGTCTCCCCGCTTCGGTTTTTTCGGGTTTTCCCCCCCCCCCCCCCCCCCCGATGCTGGCAACAGCGCGCAGCGTGCGAGGGTGAGAGTGCGCGCGGGTGTAAGGGTGAGAGAGAAAACGAGCTCGTCAGAGGAGGCGAGGTCGCGGGCGTGTGTGCGCGCGCGCGCGCGCGCGTGTGCCCTGCCTTTCTTCCCCCTCTCCCTTGGGGGGGCTTGCTCTGGCTCCTGATACGCGGTGTCCCTCTCCCACCTCCGCCGCCCCCTTTGCTCTTCCTCTCCCTCCTGGCGTGTGCGCGCTTGCCCCGCCCGCGCGCGCGTGTGCTGTCTCGTTTCTTCCTTGTTCTCCTCCCCGCGCGTGTGCGCGCATCGTCGCCGCGTCCTCCCCCCCCCACCCTCCCCTTCAGTCCTTGTCAAGCCCCCTTCCTTGAATTCTACACCCTGTATTATTTGTGCAAGTAGTGATCGGGCGGGGGAGGCGCATTCCCGCATGCATGCATGTGTGTGTGTGTGTGTACTGCCCTCCCCTGCCTCGCCGCTCTTCCCCCTCCTCCCCCCCTTTTGCGAGAAGGCTGCTTGTGCCACACTGTTGCAGTCAATACATCCTCGCCTGTGTGATTGCTCGTGTGGGATTGTTCGTGTGTGTGTGTGTGTGTGTGTGTGAGAGTGGCTGATAGGGGGGCAGGGGGTTGAGCAGGCTGACTGCCCGGCGTCGCAGGCTCCTGTGAAATGCACACACACAGAGAGAGAGAGATCTTCCCCCTCCTTCTCGGCGTTGGGCCCGCCTTGCGCGAACCAAACGAGTGCGGCCCATGATCACGTACTAATCATGCCCTGTCAGGGGCCTAATCATGCACCGGAAGTGGGTGGTGCGGGCTGGTCTGGGGCCTTTGGGGGGGGGTCGAGCCCCAAGACCAAGGGTCATCGTCATGGTTCCCGGCCCATTGACGAGCCGCAGTGGGCCCGCGACAGGGTCTTGTCCCGACGGCGTGTCCGACCCCGGCCCGGGGGCGATTCCCAAGCCCCGGGACAGGCCGAGGGGATGCTCAGGCCCTCCTTTCTCGGCGCACGGCCGCCAGCAGCCCTTCGTTTATCCCCCCGGCCATTCGCCGACAACCCTCTTCTGTACCTCCCACAAGGGAGCAGGGTCTGGCCGCTGCCCTCGGCATATTTTGGCGGGCTGCCCAACGTATACTCGGCACATGTGTATCCCCCCTTTGCAATGTTGATCCGGATTAACCCAATGCTTAACCGACATGTAACCACAGGGGGGATGGGGGAGCCTGAAGGGGCTGCCACTCACTTGGAGGAGAGGATTCGTCCCCCCCCCCCCCCCCCCCCCCGCCCCGATCGAGAAGAGGTGTGCCTTTTTATTTCCCCATAGCGGTCGGGCCTCCGGGCAAGAGAAAAAAAAGGGACTCCCATGCACACACGCACAGTGTGGCATACACAGACACACACCTGCTCTCACGACCCGTCAGCCGCCACACCGACCGTGGTGGCGCCCACCAGTCGAAAGAGCATGCGCAGCTCGCGCAGGGCCCGGGCCGGGGCCGCTGGCAGGGTCTCATCCACGGCGCCGGGGGCCGAGTGCCCGGCCGAGGGGGCCAGCACTGCCGGCAAGCAGGCCACCCGGTCCAGGCGGCTGTTGATGAAGGCCAGAGGGCCCTCCTCGTGAAGGTCGCGCAGGAGGCTGTCCACGGCGGCCGTCGGCCAGGCGACACACCGGCCACTGATGTTCAGGCAGCCGGGCCCGGCACCGCAGCCAGTGCGCCAGCTCCGCGAGGAGCATAGCCACGCGGGGGGGTGCGCCAGCAGGGTGGTCGCCGAGGCCAGACCAGTGCCACTGCCGGCGCCGGCCGCGGCTCCGGGCCCACCATCGAGAGAGCCCTCGACCTGCACCCGACGCAGGGTAACCAAGCACCGAACGACCTCCAGGAGGTGGCGCTTCCAGGTGAGTGACTGGGCGCCAGGGTCCGAGGGGGGCCCGGCCGCCTCGGCCGCAGCCCACGCAGTCAGCGCATCCTCGGAGTGCCCGCGCGGGGGGAGATTCCCACCGGCGGCTCCCGGGCCGCTGGCCGTGTCCCGGCCGGTGGTCAGCAATTGGTATGCCCGGTCCAGGCGCGACACGGCCAGCGCCAGACGCCGTGCCCCCTCGGACGAGCGGGCCAGGCTCAGGACCGCCGCCGGGGCCGGCCAGCCGGCCTCCAGGAAATCAAAGCCCGACACTTGGGCCGTCAGGATGAACCCCGATGCCAGGCCCACCACCAAGTCCCCGATGCGTTGGGAATGCAGCTGCTGCGGCGACAGGGGGGTCTGATAGAGGGTCTGGAAGTGTCGAAGCCCGTCGACCGCCGCATGCTTGGCCCGAGCCACCAGGCGCTCGGACGAGGGGTCCGGCCCCTGGGTTGAGCTGCCCGCCGCCGCCGCGGCTGGCCGCCGCTGCTGCTGCTGCTGCTGCTCTTCCTGGCGGCGAGTGTCCCGCGCCCAGTGGAGGAGCGACCGCGCGTGGCTGATGGCCAATTCGGCCTGCTGCTCGAGAGCCTCCAGGTCGGCATCGGCCCCAGCCGGGTCGAGGGCGCGCGCAAAGTGCCCGCACGCCTCCGCATGCCGGCCCACTGCTGCCAAGGCCGTGGCACTCACTTGGGCCAGCTGCCCGCGCAGGGCCTGGCCCGCCGGGCCGACGGGCGCCAGCAGCGTGTCGGCCACGCGCTGGCTGGCCAGATGCGCGGCCAGGAACCGCGGCCCAGGGCGAAGCTGATCCTCGGCCAGCTCCGCCGGCTGCACCAGCGGCGGCAGGGCCCCCGGCCTGGCATCGGCGCCTCGCTGCTTGCCTTCCTCGTGGCTGGCTTGCTCGGAGTCCTCGGGGCCGGCGGCCGCCTGGGCCAGCAATGCGGCCACGCGTGCCCGACGGTCATACTCGGCCGCCGCGAGGAAAACCCCGGCCGCCGATGCATGGACCTGGAAGAGCAGCGCATGCGGGGCCGGGTCCAGGGCGGCGTCCTTGGCCCGGACCGGGCGCACGGCCCACTCGCGCTCGACCAGCCGCAATGCGGTGGCATACACCCGGCCAACTTGGCCCTGGGCCCACGTTTCGGCTCCCAGGGGACCATCGGCCTCGGGACCGGCGGCAGCCATGGCACGCCACTCGTCCTCGGGCGGAAGGCGGAAGTCCCCGGCCAGCAGCTCATCGCGCAGACAGTCCATCAGTGCGCAGGCCGCCGGGATGAATGCCGCACAGGGGCCCGAGCCGAGGGGCAGGCTCGGGGCCAGGAGCCGGTCTTCCGCCTGGGCCGAGCGGCCAGGCTCACCCGTGTCCCGGGTGGCCGGGTCGAGGGCCGCCCCGCTGAGGGCCAGCGCCGCGCCGAGGGCCGCGCGGGCCAGGAACCCGCCGGAATCCGGCCGACCGCTGGCGGCCAGCGCGCGCGCCATGCGCACCAGGCTCGGCCCGGTCAGAGCCCGGCGTCGAGCATGCAGGTCGAAGGCCCCGGCTGCCAGGGTGTCCGTCACCAGCCAGTGGGCACAGGCCCGCTCGGTGAGGAGGTCCCCGCTGGCGGAGCCAGCCCCGGGGGCATCATGCTCGGTGCCCGGGACCGGGGTGACCAGCCGGCTGAGAGGCTTGGCCCGGACTGTGAAGCCGGCGATGTCGGCCGATTGAAGGACCGGGGTGCCGGTGCCGCTGAGGGCCCCGGGGCGCAGGGAGAACTGGCACACTCGGGCCAGGGCCAGGGCCAGGGCTCGCGGGCACAGCTGATCCCGGGCCAGGGAGGCCCGGCGCGATGCGCGCTCCGCGAACAGCACCCCTGCATCGGGGAATAGCAGGCACAGCAGGGGAATGACCTTGCGCTTGTAGAATCGATCGCTTGCGGGGTTCTTCACGAGCATCTGGCCACATGGAGAGGCGACAGGGTGTGTGTGTGCGTGCGTGTGTGTGTGTGTGTGTGTGTGTGTGTGTGTGTGTGTGTGCGTGCGTGTGTGTGCGTGTGCGTGTGTGTGCGTGTGCGTGCGTGTGTGCGTGTGTGTGTCCACCCGGGAAAGGGGGGAGGATGGAGGCGTCAGACAAACGAAGAAGGTGCACGGGAGATGGAGGGGGGCGGGGCAGACCAGCTTGAGCAGCCGGGCAGGGGAGGGAGGTGGCTGGGGGGGGGGGGGGAGATGTCGCTAGCCACCAGGCAAGCAGCGCGACCATGTACCTTGTTGGTGGCGGCCACCAGCGCACGAACAGCCGCTTTTTCGGAGCGCGCGGCATCTCGCCGAAGCAAAGCAACCGGCGCATGGCGGCCCCGGGTCCCGCGCACCGCGGCCACCCGAAGCCGACCCAGCACCAGGTACTTGCCAGCGCGGGCCAGCATTTCCACCAGGCACATGCGCCGGACGTAGGCCGGGACCGCGGCCGATGCCAGCAGCCAGCCAACATCCCGGACATTGAGGCCGCGAGCATGCATCTCCGCCACCAGGGCCGACCCGTCGGCCGGGATGAATGCCAGCGCGGCCAAATCCGCGGCCAGGGCCCGGAGCCGGGCCTCGCGCTCTGCGGTCCCCTCGCGCAGGGACGCCGCATCGAGGCGTGCCTGCAGGCGCCGCTGCCGAGGCCCTGCCGGACCATTGGCCGAGGGGAGGGCGGTGGTGGCGGCCGCGGCATTGGCGGCCGCCAGGGCCACGGTGGCCGTCGGCCGGAAGGCATCCACACAGAGGGACTCCTCGGGTGACAGAGCCACCGGGGCGCTGCCGGCCCGCGACAGGAGGAGCTCCGCGCGGAAGCGTCGGTGCTGGTCAAGCGCGCGCAAAGCCTGGTCACGCTGACCCTCGGAGGTGCGCACTTCTCCGGCCGATGGCAGCTCGGTGCCATGCCAGGGCGGAGTATTGGGAAGCAGGGTGCTCAGTCCGGTCAGGAAGGCGGGCGGTTGGCTCGGGAGGCCCGGCGATTCGGCATCACCGCCGGGGGCGTCGACCGCCGGGCGCTGCCGGTGCACCGGGTTGAGCAGGCGCTTGGCCACGATCGAGGCGCTGATGGGAGCTGCTGCGGGTTTTTTTTCCCCCGGGAGGCAGGCAGGGCCAGGAGGAGGGCCGTTTCACACGAGACACCGGGAGAGGGAGAGGGAAAGTGCGCAAGCCGACAGGAGGACCGCCACAGGCAGCAGAGCAGAGCGTCAGTTTTTGAGGGGGGCGGGGGGGGGGGGGGGGGGGGCTTCACGCGGTCCAGCGCACCATTTGAAGCGGCTGGCCCCTCGGCCAGGAGGTCTTGCGCCGACACGAGGCCCAGAACGGCGGCCACCGCACGGGCAGCCTGCTGCTCGTGTGCCGCCAAGTCCACAGCCGAGAAGCGCGGCTGCTCATCGCCATCACTCAGGACCGCGCGGCAGAACACGCGGAAGCCCTTGAAGTCCACCAGGCAGCACATGGGCACCGTCAACAAGTCCGCGGCACAGGGCCCCGGCGGGGCATCATCCTCCGGGCCGGGAGTGAGAGCCGCCAGGGCGGCGACCGCCGCCGCGGCGCCCGAAAACTCCTGCTGCGCCTCCTTGTGCCAGATGCCGATATTGACCGCATGCAGGACCTCGTCCGCCAGGCGGGCCGTCTCCGGACCGGGCGCCGACCCGGCCGCCCCGCGGGCACGCTTGCCGGGGGACACCGTCCGCACGACGACCCCCGGCCCGGGGGCCGGCCGAGAGGGCCTGGCCCCGGCCTCCGAGTCCTCGGGGCCAGAGTCGGCCCCATCCGACTCGGACCCGGCATCTGACAGGGTGTCATCATGGTCGAAGGGATGGTCCTCATCGTCGGCCGAGTCGTCCGAGTCATCCCCGGAATCGGCCCCAAGTAGGGTCATGCCGGAGGTGGCATCGATGGTGCGGCGCTCGCGGCGCCGGCGCGCATCTTCCAGCAGCGCGCGCCGGTAGTCCGCCGCAAAAAAGAGGTCCATGGTCCCGCATGACGACCGGATGGCCTGGTGGGGGGACAGCGAGTCGAGACTGACCCCGGCGTCTGTCCCGGCCCGGCCGACCGCCAGGCCGTCCACCAGGCTGACGACCGCCGACCGGGCGCTGTCGCCAAAGGCCCCGCATAGCCGGGCCAGCGACACGGCCCTCGCGCCCGGCGTCAGCCGGCGATCGGACAGCACCCGCTCGAAGCGCGCCTGCCAGTCCCCGCGCATGCGCCCGGACACGATGGACGCGGCGGCCTGGGCGTCGGCGCCCAGGGCTTCCAGCGGCACGGCGCTCGACAGGGCCTCCGGATCCAGGAAGCCCCGAAAGTACGCCTCGTAGACGGCCAGCTCGCTGTGGGGCAGGACCGCCGGGCGGATGCCATACAGGGTGATGTCATCGACCACGCCGCCGACGAGGGAGCCGCCGAAGCAGGAGCCGGCTGGGTCGCCAAGCCGGGCGAACGTGTCAGCCGGCATGGCCTGCTCCAGCCGCGGCAGGGTCAGTCGCGCGGCGGCCTCCAGGCTGTCAAGCGGCGGGGGGGGGGG